TGTCTTTTTACCTCTTTATTGTTTCGTATATTTATTTTAATATAAACTCAGACAACCATTTCTACCATGTTGAGTCTGGCTGAATGACTAAAAGTCTATGCCAAAAAAAACTGAAATTCCTCCTGACCGACCACTAGATCCGGACCCTAATATAAGCCAAAATCTGTTTCAAAATAATGCAATAGAAAAAGTAAAAAATAAAGAAAAAAGTTTATATTCTGAATCAGATTTGGGGCCCTTTGAGGTCTTTGTTCAGGGTAAAAATAGTAATATGGGTAACTATCATATCCTAAGTATTGCTAAGACTATCTTTAATCTAAAACTGGAACAGATTGCTAAGTTTGATAGAAAGGGAAAAATAGAGTTCTGCCAATCCGTTTATCCTTAGGAAGGACTGGGAAGAGTTGGGTTATGAGTTTTTCATTCCCACTCATCTTATTTCTTGTAAAGGTATTGTCAGGGGAGTTTTTAAATATTTGTCAAAAGAGAAAATTAAAATGTCAACTTCTACTAATCTTTCTTTCTACTATTCTTTTGTAGAGTTATCTCTGTTAGAAGAATGAATAGAAAGGTTATGCAAGATAATTCAGAAACTATTTTCATCCCTACAGATGGTACTATGTGTTTAACTTTTTCAGGAAGAAATATCCCCAAACAAATTGAAATTTATGGTCTGCTTATGAGGGTGATACCCTTTATTAGTCCAGTTCTCCAATGTCATAATTGTCTTTTATATGGACATTCTCTTTCTCAGTGCAAGGAAAAAAACAGGTGTGCTACATGTGGTGCAAATAGGGTGCAGTAGGTTTTGTATGTTCTGTAAAACATCAGATCATGACTCTAGACATCCTGAATGTAAAGAAAAAAAGACAAAAGATTAAGGAACTCATGCCGTTTGGCAACTTATCCTTATTTGGGAAACATCTAGTCCAAAGTTGAACATTAAGGATTTTCCTAATCTTGTAAATAATTTATACTCTGCAAATATTATTTCTATCCAAGAGAGATCAGTTGCTACATTCCTGTTTTCAAGTTCTGTTTTCTACAGTCAGATTACAAAATCCACTCCAATAAAAAGGAAAATACCATTAAATGTAGGCTTTGATCAAAGTTCCCATTAGAAAGTATTGAACAATCCTAATGCGAGATCCCCAAAAAAATCTCCTACTCACTTTATCGATAACTCTCAGACCCAAAGAGATCTAAATCAGGCTATATTAATGCTGCTGAATCAAAATAACAGGAATTTGGCTATGACATTTATTGGCGAATTGATTAATAAAAATTATAGTTCTCCTGAGGATCATGTTGGATTAAATGTAGAGATTGGTAATCATAAAAACAAAAGTGTAGGTATGATGGAGGTATCTGGGTCTGAGGACTAAGAATACTGATTCCCCTCTCGTCTTGACCTGGTTATGTTCTTATGTTATTATTTTATATTTTCAATCATCATGCCCCACTAACTATTATACAATGGAATATAAGATCTTATAACACCAATGTTGACAACTTAGTCCTTATAAAAGACTATAACCCTGATATTGTCCTCATTAGTGAGTCTTGACTATCTAACTAACACATAATTAGATGCACAGGGTATCACATTATCACAAAGGATCGAGGTGATGGATATGGGGGCTTAGTTACCCTTATCCAATACAATATAGATTTTCGGGATATTCATATTTACAATCCTGGTTTCAATTCAGATGTTCAATTTCTATAAGAACCTTATAACATTCGCAAACAACTTTGGGAAGAAATAAATACTGCAGCAGTTTCTTTTGAACAAGCGATGTTATTTAATATGAGACAATCTTTTACGGAACGTAATGATAACAGCATTGAAGAAAATAGTGAACATATCGAACATTTATTTTGACAAAAAGTTTAATGTTATTTAGTTTAACTATTCCTTAATATGGTTTGTAAATAAAGTGTTTTGATTATGATTTTAATATAATATAAAACATATACTGTTTTATGTAAAATCCTATTAACCTATTATTTCTTTTTCTTCTTTTTCCTTTATTGGTTAATATCCAAGGGTATAATTTACCCAGCTAATTTAGTGGGGATATTCGCAACTTGCTGTAGACAATCGAATATCCCCATATAACATTAAATTGAAATTATTTTATATTGAATAAACACTGTGTTAAAACTTCTTCTTCTTTTTGGACCAAACAATTAGTATAGGAAAGATAATACATCACAGGATAAAATTTTTCTCGCTTGGCGGTAGCAACCAAGCTGAACACATACAAAAAATGCTACCAACGGATGATAGTCAGAGAACCCAGGTTTAAAAAAAGAGAGTAATTTGTAAGGTAATGTTATAGTAGAATATAAGAAAGGAATATATATTATAGGTTGATTTTGGTTAGATTAAGAAAAGTAATCAACTTGAGTTGATTACTTTTGTCTTTATAAGGAAATTTATTGAACCATGGTGATTTGTTTCATTTATTGACTATTTTACTATAAAATGACCCTTTTGATCTCTGTTTGAGTTCCATTCTTGTGCCCATCGAGACCAAATTAGCTTTTTAACATAAAATAAGAAATTTGAATAATGCAATTTAACTTATCCTAATATCCTAATGTTCTGGAATCCATGCCAGGATAATACTGATGTTTTGTTGATGGTCTTCTATAATGCCCCTTTTGGTCATGATAGAGGTATGTTCAGTTTCCATTGAATATAATGTTTTCCTTATCTTTTGGTAGCACTCTTAGAATCAGACAAGATTAAGGCCCTCTTGATATCCTTCACCAAGACAAATTGAACCGCGTGATTAATTGCAATAATCTCTGCAGTGCAAACTTGAGTTTGCGTAGGGAGTTTACTAGAGTATGAGTATTCAAAGTCAGGACAAAAAACACCAAATCCTGCTGAGACCTTACTATCAACTGACCCATCTGTAAAGATTATAGTGTGAAGTGGTTTGTCAAGTGAGATTCTTTGAAATTGAATTAATGCATGCTCATCACCTTGATAAGATTGCACATTCGTAATAGGAATAGAAGTTAATTGATATTCTAATTCAAAATTGTGGCACGGAAATAAGTCACTAGAAAATAAATTTGTGGTATTCCGGAATTTATTCATGATGGAAACTAAGGGAGGAATACTTTTTTATTCAAGTAATTATGATTTGATTGCACTGATGTCTGTAGTTGATTCAAGGCAGAAAATATTGGATTATTAATTAGCATAAGATTTTTTAGGAGAAATTTAGAATTAAGCCATTCCCATCTGCACTTGAGAGGAATTTGATCACTTTCACCTAACAATGCATGAATAGGGGTAGATCTCATACATCCTGTTCTGATACGAATACTCTTATATTGTAATTTATCTAACCTGTTGATTAGCGCCTTAGGACAATCTGATAGTGTTTGACATCCATAATCTTAATGACTCTGTATCAAACCATTATGAACTATCTGGAGAGATTTAGGATCACTACCCCAATATGTTCCACATAGAGCTCTCATTACATTCAAGCTACGACTTACTTTTAATTCTATTAAATCCAAATATGATTTCCACTTTAGGTTTTTTCGAATAACTATCCCTAAATATTTCACTGTATCCATCATCCATTTAATTGCATGACCTCTAATTCTTACGTTAGGAGGATTAACTTTACGATTTCCTTTTTGAAACATAATTGTTAAGGACTTATTGTAAGATAGATTAAAGTTGTGTTCTAACAACCAGAGATCCATCCTTTCCATTAACAAGTTTAAAGAATTAATTAATTTAAGTAGATCAGCCCCACTAACCCAAATAACTAAATCATCTGCATACTGTATCAGATTACAACCGTTGGGAATAATCTCATATCAAGATAGGGAATACAGATTAAATAACATTGGACTTAAAGGGGAGCCCTGAGGTAAGACCTGATTAGTTTTTCTACGACCATGAATTTGACCAGATTTGTCCTTCAGATAAATACTACGATCATTAAATATAGAATAAACGACATTTGCTAGTTGAATAGGAATGTTATATTTAATTAGTTTCGAGTATAAAAGAGAGCTGTTGACACTATAATAAGCTGCTGAAATATCTAGGAAAAGTCCTACAGTAAACTGATTTAATGAAAATCCTTGTAGTATTTTAGAATTTAGTAATGAAATGCATTCCATGCAACCTCTACCTCTTCTAAATCCAAGTTGCAATGGATTTAAAATATGATTATGTTCTAAGAACCACTCAATTCTGTTTAAATAATGTTTCCAGCATTTTACCAACGCACGATGAAAGAGCAATAGGCCTATAATTAAGTGGATCAGTTTTATCTTTTCCATGTTTAACAATAGGTAATATGACCGTGTGTTTCCACGAGATAGGAACCTGTCTCTTCCAGATACATTCACTAAAGAATTGAATTAAGAGTAATGATCCAGCGTGTGGTAAATTTTTTAACATAGAGTATGAAACCTGATTAGGACCCACAGCAGAATCAGGTTTAGAAAAAAGAGTATTGTGATATTCATCAAATGATATGGGATTCTCAGAATACTGCAGAGGACTGAAAAGTAATTCAAAATCTCCAGAAATAGGTGAGAGAGATGTTAAAATTTTCTGGGCTATCTCCTCAGATGGCAATTAAGATAAAAGAGATAATTTACTACCAGAAACCTTGTTAATTTTATTCCAAATATCTTTAAGGGGAGTATTTCTATTTAGTTTGCTACAAAAGGATCTAAAGCTTATTTTTCGCTTTAATTTTAAAAATTTTCTAGCTTTCGCTATCAATTTTTTAGCCTATATATAGTTTTCAACATATAAACAAGAATTTTATTCACAATAAATAAATTTTGATTTCATATTATTATGTTTTTGTTACAAAAATTTTTAAACAAAAAGCACTGCTCTGCGTTTGTTACGCAAAAAATTAATGAAAATAGTGTTTTGATTTAAATGAAATTAATTAATTAAAAAATAGATATGTTTAAAAACATTCAGTTCTGTTCTATACCTGTAAATATTGAGCAGCAACTATCAAAATCGGTGAATCTGGCGGAAGATTATATATAGCAGCAGTTATGGGACCACTTAGACAACACACACTAAAATCTGCAATGATAAGTCCCAGAAGCAAAGGACTTTTTGACCCCCGCCCCCAGTAGAGATTAACGGCCAAAGTCCCGTTTCCGATTACACCTACCAAAAATAAGCACCCATAAATCGTTACCAAACTATCCATTTTCCGATTTAATACTTTCTTTAAATAGTTTTAAATAATAGAGATTAAATATACAATTTTAGTAACACATGAAGCGTGATAATCGAAAGCAGAGCGACTGAAGCTCCGACGCCTAGTATTGCCCGGCAGAAACTAAACCGAATTTTGAACGAACCGGAGGCAGAGAGACTGCCACCCCCAGCTTCTTTTCATCCCTGACAAATGTTAGTCGCTCAGTAGCTCAGTGCTCTGGTCATGAAAATTCTGAGAAATATACTTTGTAACCTTTGTAACCACATTTATCAATAGGTATCAAAGAATAATAATTATATAATATATAAGTGTATAATGTGATATATGATATCTGTATAAGTGTATAGTGAATAATAATTATATATTGCAGTGATTTTTCGTATATGATTTTCAGTTTAAACAAGTATGTATCATTGAAAATAAATGCACCTATAATCTGTTCACAATTTGTTGATAGCAAACTACAAGTTTAACCCTAATTAGAGAACTGAAATACAGAGAGGATAGGTAATACGATATAATAGTAAAAACCAACCTGAAACTGACGGTTTAAGATTTTTTCGACTAACCCACCTTGTATCTGAAGGAATAAAATACAGCAATCAACCTTATAATCCAATTACGAAGGTATTTTGGTTACAGATGACCGACCAGTGTCGTAGAGTATGATTGAAATATTTATTTCAACTAAATTAATATATTTTTTAAATTGTACTTATATCAGTTGAAGTTCTATTAAATTAGTCGCATAAAGAAACATATAAAAACTATTAAAGAACATACTATTAAAGAAACATTTCTGATCTTAGTTCCTATTTAAAAAATCGTGTGCCATTCTTATGCATTTACCGCTGTATTTTTGTTTTAATAAAACTTGTTTAAATAAAACTGACAAAATTTTCAATGTGTGTATCCATTATTTTCGAATCCGGAGAAAACTAATAAATATTTTTGAAAAATTTAAACGCAGAATGAAATATTACATTATTACTGAGGGCAAAAAGTCTCTGAAAACTTCTACAATGTTATTTTAATATGTTATGTAACAGGGGTGAAAATAAAGAGAAAATAAAGTATAATTTTTAATTGAAAATATTGCATGCAAAAGAAACTTTTTATTTATTCTAATAAATACTTCATTCTGCCTTTAAATTTTTCAAAAATGCTTTTTGATTTTCTCAGGATTTGAAAAAAAAATGGATACATTTAAAACACATTGAACATTTTGACAGGCGACATTTTGCGCCTTTCCCCTTTAATACTATACGATTACAACTACTATTACTTACCTTATATAATTACGATTAAAAAACTATTCAAATTCAAAATAAATAGGATCAACACCGGGGAATCCGAGTCGTCTTCAGGGTTAATAATTAGCGGTTGTGTCTCTACGGTCGCATTAATTATGTTATCAAGATCTCACATTTTTTGTTCTTCTTCTATTACATGTCTTACTGCATCTTTCCAGTTTTGTTCTGTAATATGTTGTAAAGACTTGTATAACAATTCACGTACAGCTTGTATTTTATATGACGTAATTTTTTTGCCACATAACTTTTCATTTGTGCCCAAATGAGTTCAATTGGATTTATTTCGCCGTGGTAGGGTAGGAGTCTAAGGACTGTGATATTTCACCTTTCCGCCAGTTTGTCAACTACGTATTTCTTGAACTTAGATTTGTGTTGCCGGGCAATTATTAAAAGTTCTGATTTTACCATTTCATCTTCGTAAGTCAGATACTTATTCCGCAGCCAGCCAAGAATATCCTGTTTCTTCCACGCAGTCGTTGGAAGTCTTTCTACTAGTCGTGAATGATAAGGTGCATCATCTGCTCAAAATACTCTTCGAAAACATCAGCTGTCATCTCCTCGTGATAGTCTTGTGTGCTTTTGGACTGAAATTCCAACAAACCATGCTTAACAAATCCTTTTTCACTGCCAATGTGACAAATTATTAATCTACTGCCTTTACCAGAAGGTGGGGAGATACTATGAGACCAACCTTCCATAAAGGCTTGCCTGGAGCTTAATATGTTTTTATCTGGCCAAATTTTTTTCTTCTCCAACATATTATCTCCTCCCGGTCAATCAAAAGTGTTTTTCGGTCTGATTTCTCCCACCGGAAATTTAATTCTTTTAAAACTTGCCACAATTTAGTTCGTCCGAAATGAGGCAAATCCAGGTCGTCTCTAACTTCTTGTAAAATTTTGTTTAGGTTTGGTATTTCTTTTTTGAAAAAAAAAATCCATGAATTTTCTTTTGAATACCATTTTTGGTAAATTCATCAATTTCAATAGGCTTTTTCCCTCTCTTTAAGTGTTCGTTTGTGTTTGGGTTAGCTATACCGTGTTTTTTTCTTTCTGATAGGAACCTATATATAGTTGACTCCCCTACGCCAGTCATGTTGGCACAACTTTTGACTATGTTGCGAACAGTGTTTGTGATATTCTGAGAAACCACAGCATCGTGAACATTCAGGACAATAGTCTTCTCTCTTGGTGAATAGACGGACTTACTGACTGTACGCAACAGTACCGGTGTAAAACTTGATGATGTTGATGATGAAGCCATCACAAACAATCCAACAAAACGAGCACGAGCGAAAGGTACGTATATGTTCGTAGGTATATGGAATAAAAAATCACTCACGCACTGCATATAATTCGCAAAAGAAATATTCGAGACACTAATTAGGCACTGCCGTAGACGCTAGTATTGAAATATCCAAAGAGATAAGGTATTCTTATTTACAAAATTGTTAGTGGTTAAATTCTTATTTTTATTAATATAATATAATCAACATTAGGCGTGAAAGATTTAATTGTTTTTCGCTAAATATATTAGTATTAAAACATTATTAATATTGATAAAGAATAAACACCTCAGGAACGCCTATGATGATATAAATTTTACGACCGTTTTATGACTTTGAGGCACATTTCGTGCTATCAACAATTTGTGAACGGAATATAGTGTTTTTTTTTAACTACAGTTTCATAAGAGTCAGGACCGTTATTTGAACAACTGTAATCACCATCGTAAACAAAAAAAGAATATATAATATTGACCAACAACGAGAATCAAAAGGTAAGCCTTTTTACCACTCTGCTTTTTCGGGTGCCTTCTATTAAAAATCAGCAACAATTTTGGTAAAACTGTCTGTGTCTTAGGTTTTCCTCAGCAAATCATTTTAGTCTGCCAAGTCAGCTCAATCACTTATATTTTTAATCTATAGTTTGTCTCAAAGTGACTTGTCTGTACAGGGTAAATGTACAACATCGAAGCCATACTTCTTTGCAAACTTGTATTAAAATAAACGTCACTTCTTACTACTTAGCCTAATTCATCTTTTGTGTTGAGGGTAGCTTAAGTACTAATGCCCACTAAGGACCCTGCCCTTCTGTCAGTGGTTCTCAAACATAAATGATATTTGCTACAACATACTTGGGTTAAATTAAAATAAAATAGAAATTAAGAAATGCCTTTTATTTATTCACAAAAGCAGTTTGTTTTTAATTCTACAGTATGTGCTAGCGATACAAACCATTTGTTTATAGATTTAAATAAAATCGAATAAAATAAAACTAAAATATAAAGAAACATTTTATTTATGTTTTGTTACGTTCAAAAATTAAGGGGGGAAGGACTTAACCTCACTGTATATGTTGGCAATAACAAAACGTAGAAATATCTGAAAATAAAACTAATAAATAAGTTGAAAATAAAAGAAGTCGTTGTATTTAATTTCGTGTGTAAATAATCGTAATTGTACACCGTTATATTTAGTTCCTTTTTCTGTCCATCGCTGTCACATTTAGTTTATGCTTAACAATCATTATCATCATTATTATCGTCACTGTCATCATTATCTCCGTTATTTATATTTATAATAATTGGTTCGATATCATCCAACAAATTGTCAATTTCCCACATTTTTTTCTGTTGCTATTACGTGGTTTACGTTTCTCTGGCGTAATGACCTGGTACGCTGCTGTAATTAAATTTCGTATTTCATCTTCTTTAAAATTCGCGTTGCTCAAAACGAAGAGTATCAAAAAGCAACACATAACAAAAATAAAGCATACCTAGAGACAAATCAAGCTAGATGCGTAAGAAGAGCAAAGGAGTAATACCGGACTTTAAGAAGGGAAGAAAAATGTTTACATAGAAGAAAAAAGGCAATTTAAAGAAAAGCAGTTATAAAATATAGAATGACCATGAAATCAAAAGTTCTACAGAACAAAATCAAATCAAATCGAAAGTTCCACAGAAATGTAAACAAAATGTGCAAAGAGTTGATGTCAAGAATAAGGAGCTGTAAGGATGGAGAAGGAAATATCCTAAGTGATACGACCTTGATCTTGAACCGATGGTGTTGTAAAAACAACCTCTTTATAATGTTGTAATCATATTTAGTTATTTTATCAACTTGTTCACTCAGATCGTCACCTCTCGTGTTAATGTATTTGCGACCCTCTCCCTCATAATCCCTCTTCACCCCGCGTTATAGGACTTAGGACAAGTACAGTACAGTGCGAATTTGCCTCTCGGCAAGTAAAGACGGGCTGGGGTCGATCCCGAAAAGTGCGTGAAGTGTAAGTCACAGATGCACTAGCGTTAGAACCGGTGTTTTTTGTTAAACCGTATACCAGTTTTGTATCTCTTAGTACTCTGTATCTTTGTTACTGCCTCCTAGCAATGTAAAGCAAATGATATTTGTATAACTCTTTTTAGTATTATCAGAATTGCGATAATTATCAATGTAGAATCCCTATAAGTTTACTATAAAATAATCGAAGGAAAAATACGTCTAAGTGTTTTATTGCTTCAGTGGTCTTTAGTAATTATTTTGAAGCAATTGGGTGTTCAAAAACGTCTCTCGTAAATATGGAAAGTTTAGTAATAAAGTTATCCTCTCCATCCAGATGGGTTGACTTTTTGGATGCAAAATTTAACGGCTCTTAAATCGACGAAGCAGATAAAACC